CACACACACACACACACGAACAAAGAGATAAGTGATGGTGGCAAACATGCAACTCTGTATTCAAATATGAAAATGACAGCTTGAGTGTGTGCGTACATATGTACACTGTAATGTTCTTGTGATCTTAATCAAACACACTGACAGGAATGATGGATACGAGGACATGGAATTCGAACCTGATGACAGGTTAACTGTGCAAATATGTTACCAAATTATGAAGGCAGGCAGAGCCAAATGAGAACAATAAGAAATAAGAAGGATTTTTTTTATGCATGTTTGTTGTGTGTTTCATACATTATGTCAGGTCTGAAATGGTGCAGCAGGGCACAGAAGGCCAACCCATTCCTCCAGGAGGTGGTGAAGTTGGTGATCTTCACCCCACGGTAGTTCTTGGTGACCTCACGGCACCAGACCAGCAGAGACTGGCTCGCGTTGGGTTTCCCTCCCAGGACCGGGCTCGGGACGGGGCTGGGCTGTAGGCAGAGAGGAGGAAGAGGAGAAGGAGGGTTTTAAAGGGGCGTGATTAGATGTTGTCAGAGGGGGAAGTATTGACAATGGAGGAGGAAAGAGGAAATTATTTTAAATTAATATTTTAAAATATAACACCTTATTACACATTAATGCAACATGTCAATATCCATTTCATTAATTAGACCTGTTTTGGGGGTCACACACGTTTCATCAGTGTGGATTTTCAAAAGTGTGAATGACATACTTTAAGGACGTAAGTACTGATTGTTAAAAATAAATAACGCACAATGAAAAAGCACTTAATTTCCTAAGGCAATCTAACATAAAACAGAAGTGACTCGAAAGGTCCAGTGTGTAGGATGATTTAGTGGCATGTAGCGGTGGGATTGCTCGCCTCAATCAAATGTGTAGGAGAAACTATTATTACTACGTTTGTCCATTCTGGACTACTGTAGAAACATGGCGGAGTCCATGGAAGAGGACCTGCTCTCTCTGTCGATATGAAAGGCTCATTCTAATGCAACAAAAACACTAAGATTCTTTTTTTTCAGGTTATTATATATTAATGAAAACATACTTATGTATATTATTTTCAATTTCTGCCATATTCTGCCAATAGATCCCCGTAAAGCTTACACACTAGACCTTTAATGTTTTTTTTGGTATCAGAGAATACTAAACCTGTTCTCCAAACCCATGGTGATTTGCACAGATTTGGGTTTGTAGTACTGGTTACATTTTTAAGATCGGCCACGTCGCCATTCCCCTTCCTCCACGTCTAAGCTCCTTTCATTGTTGATTTCTCAATAAAATGTTTTACTTAGCAACCTCCACCCATCCAATTAGTTTGCTTTACTGACATACAATAAGCCCACACATGCACATACACGCACACACGCAGACACACTCCATAATGAAGGGTCATGCACAAAGCAGCATATGACCGTGGATAATGTAAACATCTTATTAATTAGCTCCGCCTTTGAAGTCTTATCTGGGTTGAAAGCTTTCACCATTAGGAGCCTTTCCTCTCCCAGACTCCAAATCCCACAAATCCTTGGTGGCATGGAGACACTGGTCTTCCTCCGACGGCCAGCAGAACCAAAGCTATTCTGATTATTCATTTGGCCATTCACTAATCTGGTTATGGAGCGACAGATATGGGCTAATTCTCTCAGATCATTTTGGAGAGAAATGGCAAAATGTTACTGAGATTTGATTAAATTCATTAGAGGCCAGTGATCAAAAAGAATTTAAAATGTGTTCAAACTCCAAATGCATATTACTATTGTATGCAATAAATCACATTAACATATGAGAAATAAGACATATTTCTCACATGACACAATATGTTTTAGCAGGGTGTCTAAGTTTGATCAGGATTAATTTGACTTATAAAAGGCTATATTATCAATACACAAAACAGGATGAAAATTTGAATTCCAGTAAACATGAACATTTAGGAAAATATACAGTATAATATTGTTAAATGGTATTCAATCTGCTTTACTGAACCATATTTAAGACCTTCTGTTTAGTGAATACAACTGAAAATGCTACCAGACTCCAGCCTTGCAGATTAGCTGTTTTTTTTACTCTGTTCTGATAGCGTACCTTCTTGCACGATATTGGCTTAGATGGCAACAGCAACAGGAAATCTCCCCAGGTAATGTTTGATCGTAACGCACAAGATGGTTATGCAAATCAAACCTTTACTTAACCTTTTTGAAAAGTGAACGAAGAAGTGTTAGTTTTACACAACCTGATATTGACCACTACAAAGAGTTTTTTAAAACACACAGTGAAGGCCTGGAGAAAACACAGCTCACACCAATGTGAGTCTCAGTTCTGTAACAAGGCTTGTGGTGGCCAACCAACCCCCTCTGTTGGTGGCTTTCTGCCACTACAAGAACAGGGGGAGCGGCAGAACTGATGGGAGCCAAGGCAAAATTGTCATTACAAATTTGAGTAAGCAGTATTATTAGGCAATAGTGTGCTGACTTGAAGAGATGTGCTTCAGCTTAATGCTGAGACCTAGTGTCAAACCACGCTTCTGAATTTTCCATCCCAACCTTATTTTAAGATTGTCTGATTAAGATTGTCATCCTTTTGATGTTTGGTTGTCCTTGCTGTTGAGAAATTGTAAGACACTAAAAAATGACTGGTTTGTAATGTCAACAGGAATAAACAAAAGAGTGGTACTAAAGCAATATTAGTCAGTTAAGCAGAAGTCCATAAGCACCTGGACGTCTCTTACTCTTCTATTGTTGTAATTTAACCTGTGACCAACGAGCCTGAAGCCTGCTGAGATGCCACGAGGGCCAAACCAGATGAAAGGGACTGGAGGCCATCTCTAATAGCAACTCCTAACCTTTGCACCAGTGTGTGTGTGTATGTGTGGGTGTGTGTGCGTATGTGTGAGTCATGCAGGCCCCTACGGCAGACTCAGCACAGGGAGACGGTAGCGAGAGCCTGAGGGGCGGACACTTGACATTTCCGGCTTTAAAGGAGGGCCTTAACCTTTCCCCATAGCTTCTCCAGACACGTTTTAGGCGGCCTAGACAATGCCTGCGTGCCACTCAAACAAATGGAAGAAAAGAATTAAAAAAAGAAGAGGAGAAAAAAATAAAAACGAAGGAAAAAAATGCCCATTATAACGTGGTTGCTATTACTGTATGACAGAGGTCAATGCAAACAAAGAATTGTTTTCTGACCCTATCAAATAATTTCAATATAATTAACATATCACTGACTAATCTAACATAATGTAGGTATTTAAACTAAAAGACCCTAAAAGGCAAGATTTACATGTCTCTACATTTTCAGTAAACAAGCACATATCTCTCTTGGCTGATGGAATTAAACTTGTTTCTCCAGTTGTCCTTTCTTTTGCCACTGTTTTTGTGTGTCATTAAAAGAGAGAGAGAGAGAGAGTGTGAGTGTGTGTGTGAGTGTGTGTAGAGTTTCAGTGTGGAGTGGTCTTCCTCCAGGCCTTCCCTTTCTGCTTTTTCAAGTGACGGTTGAAAGTAGCTGTCTAATTTGAGCGCCCTAATTACCTTGGATTAGAGACCAGGTGCTATTAAAGCAATTAGACACACAGCACACTCCAGTGCCGCAGACCCTGTACCCTAGCCGGCGGAAAACACACACGCACAAAAATACACACCTGTGTAACACGGCCAGTGAAAAAAAACAACAAAAGAAAAACAGTGGGACACACAAACTTTAGGGGCTGGCTCTCTCATACACACTCACCCACCCCCACCTATTAACATGCAGGTGTCTGAGCCAACAGACAACAAACACACACACACAAGTAAACATGCACTATAATGCACTGTAAAAAGGTTAAACAAAGGACGAAGATACTGTGCTGTTGACACCTTAATAGTCAACTTACTCAACTTTAAGTGTTTTAATTATCTCTTTTAAACTGTCATTTAAAAAAAAAATCAATGTGTCAATGAGAGTGATTCTTTTCTTCATTCCTGACGAACCAGTTTTTAGAAGCAACATGGAGTTCTTCCACCAACACCGGCGTGTGACTAGCAGTGACCCCATGTTCATCACAACCCAACCTGATGTAATTTTCTCAATCGGCAGCCCAGACTGTTCCATTACGCTCTTTCCAGATAACGGGTTACAAATGCATCTACGCTCTCAAGCTTTCACATCCATCAAATATTGAACAAATACCATATCTTCTTTTACAGGACCTGGCTGCATTTCCTTAAGACACAAACACGGGAGGAGTGAAATTTTCATGAGGAGCAGAAATGCACCCTGACTTATCAAACAGTTTGCTGTCTTGCCTAAAGGAAGGTGTGCACATATATGTATTTTGTGTGTGTGTGTGTCTTTTATCTGTCTGTGTGAATGTCACTGGATGTGTGTGTGTAACACTGACACAGCCATGTAGCCAGCTCAGCTCGGGGGTAGGATTAGCGGAGAGCATTGCCTCGGCCCACAAACATTCCATATTAAAAAATGAAAAGGCAACCTTCATTACTATCAGTGGCACATAACCTCCCCTCTTCCTCCTCCTCTGCTACTATTATACACAGCCCTAACAGCCTGGGCGAAAAATACAAGCCACTGACAAGAGATTCCATTATTCCTGATGCCTCAGTGTCAACAACATACATCCGACGGGGCAAAGAAAGAAAAAAAAAATAGAAGAAGGGAAAAGGATGTGAGAGAGAAAGAAGGGGGGTTAAGCTCACTACAATGCCTGAATGACAAGATAGGAGGAAACCTGGGAATGGAAGCATCCAGGTTCCTGTTGGTCCTGGTGTCAGGAGCAGGATTTTTGGTGTCAGCAATGTGATTTTAGGAGGAGGGATGTGATTCGAGATCATGGTAAAGCGGATGAACCGTGATATGGAAAATTAGAAAATTGTCACAGGTCGATCTTAGGTCTTAAGCAAAAGAACAATTCTGTAGCGGGGTTGGAAATTGTTTCTTTTAGACTTGGGCAATATGCCAATATGTACTGTACTGTGTAAGGGCAGAAGTAATTTAAAATACCTTTTAGAGAAAACTTAGCAAACATCCACTAACTTACTGTAAGTGAACAGTACCATAACTGAAAGTAAATCTCTCATTACCAACATTATACATGGTGAGGACCGGGTAGGGAACATAGGTTAAGTTTAACATTATTAGAAAATTATATTGCAGTATATGTGGATTACAATACTAACAATTATTATCTTAATGATGTCTGCCTTGTTTTTTTTGTATCTTATATCAAAACAAAGTTATTAAAAATTATACGGATTATTGCAAATAATTATTTTACTGTTACAGTACTCAACAACTGGGTTGTAAGACAGGCAAAGAGTGGATAACTGCAAACTCTGGGGTGTTAATCTGACAGTCTACTGCTGGGTCACCCTGTTGGCCTCCATGAAAATGGACAAATGTAAACAAAATTACGCAGCTTTATACACAATTAAATGACCAAAGAGTATAAAGGTCATTAAAACTGGCCTTTCAGAGT